AAGGGGACGCCAGGGGACAGCGCCACGGGGCCCTGGTGGAGCGGAGGGAGGTGCAGGTGGCAGGACATCTTGGGGACACGTGGCAGGACTGGAAGGACACAGATGGGGTTGGAGTCAGGTGAGGTTTGAAGTTCCAACCCAACCCTTTTGGTGGCACCTGAGGCAGCCTCTGGTCCCCAAACCTTGGGGACATGTCCCAGCTGTGTCACAGCCCCAGCTGGTGGAGGTCCTGGTGACATCTTGGGGACGCTTGAAGGACACCATGGGGTTGGAATGAGGTGAATTTTAGGGTCCCTCCCCACCCGTTTGGTGACACTCAAGGACACCTGGACAGGTGAGGTCCCCACACCTTGGGGACACATCCCAGCTGTGCCACTGTCCCATCATGGCCCCAGAAGCACCTGAGGGACCAAACCCTTTTTAACTCTGAAGCCAGGCTGGGGACATTTGGGGACAATGTCATGCAAAAAAAACCCCAATTAATTAAATTAATTCATTAATTAATTAAAACATCCCTTGCTCCCAAACTCCCCTTTTTCAGGAGCAAATCTGGGGTTCAGGCACTCAGCAGCAAACCCCAAAAATCCTCTCCCACTCCAGCACAGAAATTCCAACCAATGTGTTCTAAAATCCTCTCCTAAATCGCATTTTTCATATGGGAAAATCAGGAATTAATCTGAATTTCGTAATTCCAGAATCCCAAAGTGCTTTGGGATGGAAAGGACAACAAAGATCCACTCAACCCCTGCCATGGGACACCTTCCACCATCCCAGGTGGCTCCAGCCTGGCCTGGGACACTTCCAGGGATGGGAAATCCATGGAACATCCCATGCCAGCTCTGCTCACTCTCACAGGGAACAATTCCTTCCCAAACCCAACCAAAATTCATTCACTTTTACCCCATTCCCCCTTTTCCTGTCGCTCCAGCTCCTGATGGAAAAGTCCCTCCCACCACCTTTACTAGCAGGGAATGTTCTCCCTGGAATCCACCAATTCCTTCCCAAAACAAGATGGCATTTTTTCTAAAACCACTCTGGATCTCTGCTTGGAATCCACTAATCCCACCCCAAAATGAAACAGTATTTTTTCCTAGCCACCCCAGATCCCTAGTGGGGTTCCACCAATCCCATCCCAAACTGAGGTGTTATTTTTTCCTAAAACCACCCCAAATCTCTCCCTGGAATCCACCAATCCCACCCCAAAACAAGCTGATATTTTCTTCAAAGCCACCCCAAATCCCTGCTTGGAATCCACCAATCGCACCCCAAAATGAGCTGGTATTTTCCCTAAAACCACCTCAGATCTTTCCCTGGAATCCACCAATCCCACCCCAAAACGAGCTGGTATTTTTCCTAAAACCACCCCAGATCTCTGCTTGGAATCCACCAATTGCACCCCAAACTGAGATGTTATTTTTCCTAAAACCTCTCCAGATCTTTCCCTGGAATCCACAAATTCCACTCCAAAACAAAATGGTATTTTTTCCAAGCCACCCCAGATCTTTCCCTGAAATCCACTAATCCCACCCCAAAACAAGCTAATATTTTTCCAAACCCACTTTGGATCTCTCCCTGAAAAACACCAATCCCACCCCAAAAC